CACAGCGCGCTCCGGCGCCGCGGCTCGCGGGTTCACCGTGTGCGGCTTGCGGGTTTTACCGAGCGCGGCGTGCACACACACCTCCGTACCCGCACAATCGTACAGAGACCACGGCCTTTACGCATACAACGACCACACACGCGCGAATGCAGCGCACGCTAATACCACGTGCAAAAATACCCAACAACACGGTTTTATTACTACGCTCGAGATTTTATTAGCGCTGGTTAACCAACCGAGCCACCCGTGTGTGTGTGCGGGCCAGCAAGGCGCTTCTAACCCACACTCTGGTGGCGTGCAGCCCTATTCTATGCTGCGCTCTCTGTTAAACTGCTTTCCTCTCGTCCTTACCCTGAACTAACCCTTCTCCTACGGATCCTACTCTCCGCTCTGAGGTGTTGTAAGGCGCGTAATACGATACCGTCTGTAGCCCTTGGTGGCCTTGCGGCGCTCAGATCGTCCTGCAGACAATCTAGCGGCTCGCCCGATGACTCCTTCGTCGCTGACTCCGTGTCAAAACTCCAGAAGAAGAGAGACTCCCCTACTCTGCCCTCCGTCTTTTATACTATTCACATCAAAGGCTAGGCGCCCCCGTCCCGACCGCCTTGGTCTCTCGACCAATCCTGAGCCTAGGATTTCCCGCCCTTTTGCGATCCCGCCGGCTTTTGACCTTTCGACCAATCAGTAGCCCCGGGTCCGTCGCTCTCCGCCAACGCTGCTTTTTTTTTGGTCCTGATCCCAGCTATCCGCCTTGCTGACCCGTGTTTGTGTTTGTATGCGTTTCTAACTGCGGGGCTCTCTGAGCTCGCCGTGGTCGTGCGATCTCAAATCCGCCCACGGCGCCGCAGTGTTACTTGGCCTGGGAAGGGTCCTGTCAAATTCCCTGGCCCTGAGAAACCGTGGGGTAACCCCCCGAGGGGGCCCTCGGGTGAAAACTCAGGGTAGGTGACCCGACCACGAGGCCCTACGTGGGAGCGGGTGCGTGCTTATGTGGGGGGGGTGATGGGGGGAAGTGCGGTGGGGGAAGCCGGGCGGCTCCCTGGCTCGGCAGAGCGGCCCCGTCGCTGTGGCACCACACAGTGGCCTCCACGACGAGGGCGTGGAGGTGGCTATGTTAATGTGAGAGATTAGCATGTTAATGTGAGATATTATGATAATGTGAGAGATAATCATGTTAATGGCAGATCGCAGAGCAGCAATGTCGAGCTCGGCGTGCGAGGTGGCTGTGTTAGTGTGGGAAATTTAACCTGACCACCGAGCTCGACGACGCTAACTGACTGGATAGCTGGCTGACTATCCAGCAGTGGCGGCGTCGGGCGATGACAAGCATGGCAGCAGCAATGGCGACGACGAGGACGACTTCCACGGCGAGACGACCCTGATTCCCACGGACAGCCACCAAACTCCCTCTCTCGCCCCCTTTTATCCTCCCGCTGATCTGGTCCCACCCTGGACACGCCCCCCTTCTCGAACCTTCCAGCTGGTTCTGGGAGCTCAAAGATGGATCCCTTCCATGACCTTTGACCCAGTTATTATTCCTTCCATGACCCTTGCCCCAGTTCTTCACCTTGGGTGGGTACACCCGTAATTGCTACTTCTAGTCGCCAGTCAGCGCTGCTACACTAAACTTGCATGGACAATGTTGTTGGTGTTCTGATGATAATAATTTTTGGATGTTGGCAGAAGTTGAGATTAAAGTTGCTTAGATTAAAAACAGGTTTCTGTGTGCTTCTTTCCTAAACTTGTGCATCATTGTCGTAATAACGAACTGTATCCTGCGGCGAGATCCGAATCCCGAGACCTGACACAATTGCACACATAATTGTTAAAGCGAGAACCATTAATGTTAACGCAAGAAGCGTACAAGTTGAAGTGAGAATCATTGATATTATCACGATTGGTGATACATACCCCTAGACAACAAGAGAGCCAATAGTACATTTTAATTTCGTTATTTTACCTATATTTTATTTTTAAAAATGTTTTCATCACAATAGACAACATGGAAAAATGTGATATGGTCTACGACCCCCAGGAACAGGTTTGTAGATTTGCTGAGCATTTCTGCGAGGTCTTAGGGGAGGGGAAATCCCTCAGTGTGGAAAACATAATTGGGGAAAATGTGGATGACCCTGCTGTCGTGCCTCATATATTGGAAGAAGTCGTCATCTTGATTTGATGCTTTGGTGACTGCAGGAATCCATACTGTTTGGTTATTTCGGTAAAATCACCAGCAATTGTCATCAGGTGTTCAGCTGATGACGATTGCTTGTGTTGCGATCAAAACGTCGTGATTTATTTTGTTTTATTTCCACCTACGTGACTTTACCGAAATTACTAAAAAGTATAGAAGAATCTTATTGGTTATTTCGGTAAAGTCACGTAGAAGGGAAATAATACAATAATAAAAATAAAACATCATAAAATAATTCTCACGACGTTTCGGCCACAACGCAAGCAGCCGTCCTCAGGTGAAGAATGAAACACCACCAAGCTTCGAGCGTATATTTAAGCTGGGTTGGAGGGGGAAGAAGAGCGCCTTGACAAAATAATTTGCATATCAAGCGGAATTTAGCATATTTAGAGGAAATGCGTAGGAGGTGGGCGGGAGGGTTTCAAACTCATATTATGCCCATGCATTATGCAGGATTAGCATCAAAGGGAGGGGATGAGGGTAGCATTAACAAAGGGAAGGAATGTTAATAGTATGTAGCTGCAGTTACTAAACAACCATGTAAAAAACGAAAGTATGAACTACATAGTATCATTAGTATACTAAATATACTCTCCAATAAGCTGAGCTACTAACAGTAAGTAATACATTACAATTCTACGTCGCAAAAAATATAATATGCTTCCAGCTAAACTTTTTTCTCTTACATCACACGTGTCTACCACGTACTATTTACTACCATAGACAAACCCAACATTAAATTACATACTGTATTACTATACACCACTCTATACCTTGGCGTACGTGTTTGAGTTCACTGGCAATGTGTTCCTGGTCGAAGATGCATTGGGCTCTATGGTATAGAGTCTTGATGAGGGAGTTCTTCTGGGATGGATGGTGGTGGAAATCCGGTTTTAGGTAAGCATCCGTATTGGTGGCTTTCCTGTAGACAGAGTGGCTCATTGAACCATCAGGTCTCCTTTTAATTAGGACATCCAAAAAGGGTAGCTTGCCATCTTTTTCGACTTCCATGGTAAATCTGATGGCTGGGTGTATGGAATTGATGTGGTCGAGGAATTGGTCTAGAGCAGGCCGGCCATGTGGCCAGATGACAAAAGTGTCATCTACGTACCTCTTCCATAAGGTCGGGCGTAGAGTGGCAGTCTGGATGGCGTCAGTCTCAAATTTCTCCATGAAAACTTTGGCTACAACCCCAGACGACCTGCTTGTCAGTTTTGGTGTGGTTTCCTTATTCACCAAAGTTCCTGTACCTGACACCATCGCAATCATTGAAATCTTGGTTCATCAAGGACTGAATACTGGGATACCCCCCCCCCCCCTGGTGAGACACTGCTTAACCAATACATACTTCACCTCGAATGGAACTTTCTACAAACAAACTGAGGGCACCCCAATGGGTCCCCCCCTATCTCCAGTTGTAGCCAACGTTTTCTTAAACAAGAGTATGCACAGAAATGGGCACAGGTGGTGCATCAGCCAGTCATCTCAGTTAGACCCATGGCACCTACTGGGTCTGCCCCGACGAGCGGGAGTTCGAAACTTCACGTGGTCTCAAGGTGCACATGGCCTGGCGCAAGCGTCGTGGTGACGTCACCGCCACTTAGTGTTGTTGTTGTGTGGGGGAGCGGTAGTGTAGCAGTTAGCGCAATGCTGCGCTGCGAACCCGGTGACCCGAGTTCGATTCACGGCCAACATCGGTGATTTCGATTATCTAAACTGGCCCTGAGCCTCCGCTAGGTCGACTCAGTCTCAAATGAGTACCTGGTGCGGGACGTAAAATCATCACCGCTGGGGAGACAAAAGGGACCAGGTGCTGACCACCCACCCCTTCGTGTGCCATGCCGGCCTTCATAGGTGCTCGCTAACAGCGCTTGCCCCAACAGTCTGTTACAGGCTACATGGGGGATCTTTGTTGTACGTGTGTGTGTGTCTATGTGTGTGCAGATCAGATCCGTTCAATGAAGACTTGAAGGACAGAACTACACACACACCCACACACTCACGCACACACTCATCCACACACTCACACACTCACCTACACACTCACCAATACACTCACTCACCCACTCACTCACTCACTCACCCACTCACCCACTCAGCCAAACACCCACTCACTCACTCACCCACTCACTCACCCAACCACTCACTCACCCACTCAGCCAATCACCCACTCACTCACCCACTCACTCACCCACTCACTCACTCACCCACTCACTCACCCACTCAGCCAATCCCCCACTCACTCACTTAACCACTCACTCACCCACTCACTCACCCAACCACTCACTCACGGGGGCAGTCACGTGCGGTAAGGCGAGGCAGGGGAGGCAGAGCCTCACCTGTCAAACTACAATGAAAATAGCTTTACTTCAAGTAATAAAAGAATAATAAAATTGAATAAATTGGAAGATTTCCACACTAATCTGTGTTATGAATATAATTTCTGTATGAATCCAATAATTTTCATAGTCAAAATCGCCAAATTTGCCGAGCTCCACTGCAAATACAGGGAGAGACGAGAGGTGAGGCAGCGACGAGCTCAGCCTCCCCTCTGATTGCGCAACCCCTCAGAAACTGGATGGAGCGCGGGCAATAAGCGCGTGCCTGTTACTATCTCAGTATGTCACCAATGTAATGTTTGTAGACCCCTTCAGAACCGCCCCCCTCAGTCAGGACACGCCCCCTTAGTGAGGACACATCCCCTCAGTGAGGACACGCCCCCTTCAGTGTGTAAATCTGGCTTTGATACGAGCCAGTGCCTCCCCAGCCATTGACCTCACCGCACGTCACTGCTAAATATCACCACTAAGGGAGACAAAGGCGGTTGGGCGTGGTGCTGCTGGACACCCACCCCCTCGTGTGCCACAGTGCCAGACTCCATAGGCGCTGCTACTTCTCGTTACTAACAGTCACTTGCCCCCGGCAGTCTGTTACAGGCTACACGGGGGATCTTTGTCTTTCTTGTTTGTGCGCGCGCGTATTGACTGTGACATCACACGTGGGAGGTCTGGACCAAGTTGGACATGGAGGAGCACGTGACCCGAGTAACGTTTAAAAGGGGAGACGGGGAGAGGATTTCAGTGACTTGGTGACCAACGCTGAGCACCGACAACCTCCGATTAGCAGGACGCTCAGCTGCTACGTACGGTGGAACGAAAGAAAATTCAACGTACCGTACGTATAAAGACTCACACAGAGATCCATAGACTCATCACACCAGACCCTAAGACTCATAACAAACATACCTATAGCCTCACACAGAGTTCCATAGCCTCACACAGAAACCCATAGATTTCTCACACATAGACCCATAAATTACTCACAGAGGCCCATAGACTCACAAAAAGACCCATAGCCTCACATAGAGACGAGTCCACTCACTCATAGACCAACAGACATACACAGGGACCCGTAGACTAGCACAGACCCATAGACTCACATAGAGATGACTAAACTCAAACATAAAGCCACAAACTCACATATAGACCCACAGACTCACACTGGGACCCGTAGACTCACACAGACCCATAGATGTACACAGAGATCCATAGCCTCACACAGAACCCCATAGACTCACATGGAGACCCATAGACTCATCTCACATACACCCACAGACTCACATATAGACCCACAGACTCACACTGGGACCCGAAGACTCACACAGACCCATAGATGTACACAGAGATCCATAGCCTCACACAGAAACCCATAGACTCACACATAGACCCACAGCCTCAAACAGAGACCTGTAGACTCACATTAAGACGAGTTGACTCACACATAAGCCCGCAGACTCACGCAGAGGCCATAAACTCCTACCACAGAGACCCATAGACTCACACAGCGACCATAGACTCACAAAGAGACCCGTATAATCATATAGACCAATAAACTCATACATAGACCCACAAACTCACACAGGGACTCGTACACTCAAAAAAAAGATCCATAGACTCACACAGAGACCCATAGACTCACACAGAGATCCATAGCCTCACTCAGAAATCCGTAGATTCCTCATATAGAGACCCATATTACTCACAGAGACCCACAGACTCAAACAGAGACCCGTAAACTCACATAGAGACGAGTAGACTCACACAAGGACCCACAAACTCGCACAGAGACGAAGAGACTTACACATAGACCCACATTTGTGATGGGCAGGGCGCTTGTGAAAAAATAGCTACTATATATCAGCTCATGTGTACCTTACTTGGTAAAATAAACTTAACGTTCGTGTTTAAATCCATCCTGTGTACCAGGCGAGCTAGTTAACATCTCGCCACTGCTGTCCCCAGATGTCCATCTCGGCCCTACCGCTGCTGCTGCTGCTTGGGGTGGTGGGAGCCCAGCAGGAGAGGACCGTCTGCGCGGGCATCAACGGGATCCCCGGACAGCCCGGAGCTCCGGGGCAGCACGGGACCCCTGGGGCCCCCGGGAGGGACGGCAGAGACGGTGAGGGGTCGGGTCCCAGAGAATCCCCCACGGTGCGCTCGTGGTGCGACGCGATCACTCGCTCGCTCACTCGTTCACTCACTCGCTCACTCATTTGTTCACTTGCTCACTCATTTGTTCACTCGTTCACTCACTCATTCACTAACTAATTCACTCACTCATTCACTCACTCAATCGTTCACTCGCCATGTCATGCACTCGATCGTTCACTCACTCATTATCGTAGGAGAGTGTCTCGTGTGGAGTAGAGTGAGATGAGAGGGCAGAGGCAGGAGAGTGCGTGGAGGGGATATGAGTGAGATGAGAGGGGAGAGGCACGAGAGTGCGTGGAGGGGAGTAGAGTGAGATGAGAGTGGAGAGGCATGAGAGTGCGTGGAGGGGAGTAGAGTGAGATGAGAGTGGAGAGGCAGGAGAGTGCGTGGAGGGGAGTAGAGTGAGATGAGAGTGGAGAGGCAGGAGAGTGCGTGGAGCGGAGTAGAGTGAGATGAGAGTGGAGAGGCAGGAGAGAGCGTGGAGGGGAGTAGATTGAGATGATTGGGGAGAGGTAGGAGAGTGCGTGGAGGGGAGTGAGATGGGTGGGGAGAGGCAAGGAGAGTGCGTGTTGGGAGTTGAGTGAGATGAGAGGGGAGAGGTAGGAGAGTGAGTGGAGGGACGTTGACTGAGATGAGAGTGGAGAGGGATGAGAGTGAGTGGAGGGGAGTAGAGTGAGATGAGAGGGCAGAGCAGGGGCGGTTTCTTCATTAGGGCGATTGGGCGACGCACCACCAATGTCATTGAACCACAGAGTCATGCTAGGCGTCACTGCAGCCTCTGGATATAGTCCAATCAGCGTCATGTCACGTTCTGTGGAGTACCGCCTCTTTTTGGGCGATTTAACTCCGGCTGAGAATCGCCCCGAGTGGCCCCATAGACTTACATTCAAAGATGTTTTTTTTCGACCGGGGGGCACTCCAATGCATTCTCTATGGCTTCCGGGAGGACAAGCCCTAACGTGCTTACGTCGTCATACGTGCTTACGTCATCATACGTAAGCACGTTTCATCCAACAATATAATTTGTGGCCACCTAGTGGAATCTTTAATAAAATAAACTTGAGTGGTTTGTTTTAATAGTGAGTATAGAAACATACAATATGTATTGTAAGAGTCACTTTATTTTTCATTAATATTAAATAAGTGAAGTTGCCTTTACATGCTTAAGCTGTTAATGCATCCATTGCATGGGTGGACCTTATCCTTATCAATCATCCAGACATTTGCCCCCCCTGAGAGATTTTGCAGGAGCCGCCACTGGGGCAGAGGCAGGAGAGTGCGTGGAGGGGAGTAGAGTGACATGAGAGTGGAGAGGCAGGAGAGTGCATGGATGGGAGCAGAGTGAGATGAGAGAGGAGAGGCAGGAGAGTGAGTGGAAGCGAGTGGTGTGAATTGAGAGTGGCTTGAGGAGCGGACGAGCCATGCTTTGTTCTTCTCGCAGGCGTTACCGGAGCACCTGGAGCCAAGGGAGACCTCGGGGCTCGAGGCTTGACTGGAGACCCAGGTGGGACTGTGACACTGACTCGTGTGCTCCTAGCAGCTGATTCTATGTATTTATTTTATTACCAAGTAATCCTCACTGAGCTATGTGTAGTGGCGTAACGCGCGCAGGGTTTGCAAACAGCAGTTGCATTCATGTACGGGGTTGCAAACAGTGAGGTCAACTCAGGACGAGCAGGTGCAGGCGGGTGGCCTGGGAGACAGCAGACAGAGAGACGCCAGCAATTAGGGAACGAGGCAGTGATTGGCTGGCTGCAAATGCAAACGCGGGTTAGGTGCCAAGGATGCGAGAGATAGTGGCGATGAGGGTGAGAACACGTGCAAGAGGCGTCGGGAAGACGCTGGCTTAATGAGGGCCACCTGAGGGCACTTAATTAGGAGGGGGATATAAGGGGAACGTGTGAAGCAAGTTGGTTGGAGATGAAGCAGTGAACAGTATTCAAGAGAAGTACGGTACCTTGCCCTCCACACCTCGTCCTCCCCAGAGGTGATGGCTGATCCCCCGCTGGGGGAAAGGGCGAGACACGCTAGCAGTGGAAAGACTAGCGGAAAATCTTTAGTTTGAGTGTGATAGGCTTTAGCGGTGAGAAACTAGCAGAGTGTACAGAGAGAGTCCGTGACAGGCTAGGAGAGCGGGGAGTAACAGGCTAGCGGAGGAAGAAAGAAAGAGTTTGCGACATGAGTACGTGGTGTTGAACGTGAGGAGCATCCGTGTGAGACGAATAAAGTAACTCAGGAGAAAAAGACGAAGTTTTCCGCGTGAATAAACACCACGCGACATATGGAGCTCTTGTTCAGAAGCGACCTGGCCACACGTAATGATAGCTCGACGAAGTGGACTTATCATCACGTGGACATTTGTTCAGCCAAATACATGTCTACATGTGGAGGGAATGAAATCGGAGGACCCGGTGAAAAATCCAGGCATGCAAACTCCAAGTAAACAGCTGGCCTCAGGATTGCGATCGAGCACACGACCTCCTGTAAACCAGGTGAGGTAGTTAACATCTAGCCACCGACAGGCTGCATGTGCCACGAAGCGATTTATCACTTCTGCTATACTTTTTTACATGAAGTCAGTGGCGTCTCCTGCAAAATCTCTCAGGGGGGGCAAATGTCTGGATGATTGATAAGGATAAGGTCCACCCATGCAATGGATACATTAACAGCTTAAGCATGTAAAGACAACTTCACTTCTTTAATATTAATGAAAAATAAAGTGACTCTTACAATACATCTTGTTTGTTTCTATACTCACTATTAATAGAATCCACTCAAGTTTCTTTTATTAAAGATTCCACTAGGTGGCGACAAATTATATTCTTGGATGAAACGTGCTTACGTATGATGACGTAAGCACGTTAGGGCGAGCCCTCCCGGAAGTCATAGAGAATGCATTGCAGCGCCCGCCGTTCGAAAAAAAACATCTTTGAATGTAAGTCTATGGGGCCACTCGGGGCGATTCTCAGCCGGAGTGAAATCGCCCAAAAAGAGGCGGTACTCCACAGAACGTGACATGACGCTGATTGGACTATATCCAGAGGCACAGTGATGGCTAGCGTGACTCTGTGGTTGAATGACATTGGTGGTGCGTCGCCCAATCGCCCTAATGAAGAAACCGCCCCTGCGTGAAGTTAAAATACACCAATTGTGCAGGTTTGGCTCACCGTCATCAACATAGATGCAGAATTGCCCCATCTCTCCGTTTGAGAGTTGGGATAAATACACTAAAATCACCCGTATCGCCTCATCAGACTGTTGTGGCAAGTGCTGTTAGTGAGCACCAATGAAGGCCGGCACGCCTTTGTCTCCCAAGTGGCGTTGTTAACACGTCTCACCAGGTAATCATTTGAGGCTGAGTCGACCTAGGGAAGGAGTCCCAGGACTGGTTCAGATAATCATCTCTGCTGGGTTCATAGCGCGAACCGCTACACTACCGTGGGATGACACACACATGCACACGCCGTGCGTTTGGACCGTGTTGTCCGCCTAGGTCTGCCGGGAAAGCTGGGCCCTCTTGGCCAACCAGGGCGCGCGGGGACTCCGGGAGTCCCAGGTGAGCAGGGCGAAAGAGGCGAGAAAGGCGAGCGGGGAGAGAGCGGCGTGGGGCCCAGGTCAGCCTTCTCTGCGAAGGTCGGCGCCTACACGCCGGCAGCCGGCGCTCCAATGACGTTCAACGTCATCATCACCAACCCGCAGGGCCACTACAACCCCGGCACGGGGAAGTTCACCTGCGCCCATCCAGGCGTCTACTATTTCACGCTGTACATGCATGCCCATGAAAAGCACCTCGTGATTATGATCATGAAAAACGGGAAGGTCGTCTCTAAGGTGTGCGGTGAGAAATTCAACGCAATAAGTGGCAGCGTCGTGCTGAGTCTCAAAGCCGAGGATGAGGTTTGGCTGGAGATGGAGGCTCCATACATAAATTTGTTCTTCAACGTGCACAGAGATGCGGTGTTCAGCGGCTATATCCTGTACCCCGAGTGAATCGTTTTTGTTTCTATCGGCGTGTCTGGGAAGACAGATTGGGAACACAATAACACACACGCATATGTACCCCCTCCCCCCGTGATAAACAAAGCTTTTGGGTAACATCTCAGAAAAATACCCAGCAAATATGCTCGGCTTGCCCAATGCTGTGGTAATGACTGCAAATTTTCGGATGTGAAATTTTCTCACCAGAGGAAAAATAGAGCCAGCACTTTTTCTCAGCCACCTTTCTCCATGTCAGCCAGGGTGTCTGGGCGATTATGAATCGGTTAGACAATGCAGAGAGACATAGCTGCATGCACCAACTGAAAAAGTCCTGAAACCTCACCAATTTTCACATCCGGCATCGGCAGTGAAGGGGGAAATATTCCAATTCCAGCTGATAGCTAAGAGTTGCTCATTTCTAACATGGGAGAGAGAGGAGAGGGGATCAATTTTCTCTCCCGTGCAATTCCCTCAATATTTTGCATCGGACGGCAACAGAAAGAAGGACAATAACTCCATCTGGAATACTGGGAATCTTAACAAGATTTGGAATGTAGTAACTATGCCTTGGTTCGTTACGCACAAGGACGTGACCCAACTGTGGCGGATAACAATTTCTTGACAACCAAGTACAACCAATTCTTCAAACTCTCGGCGACAATAATAACACGTGTCTACAGAACCCTGCAGTTCACCGACTTCACACAGCGACCCCGCGTGTCAACAATGACGGAAACCACGTCGACTTACACAGGTAGAGACCACCGTGAGGACCGTTCACACCAACCCTGATGCACGCCTCAACTCCTGGGCGACGAGGCAACGTACCAGATGCACTGGGTACGCAAATTCACCATCGAGGTCGACTACAGCGTCAGGGACACCCCCAGGACTCAACGGTAGAGCCGTACTCCCAAAATTCAACACAGAATCAACCTCGGTCTTGCATTGCACTCACAACAGTGCTCTTATGGGATCTATGCAGCGGCAGTCTCGGGATTTGTGTTTTGCGCTTCCAAAAGCGCTCTGAGTGACTCCATGCAGTGACAGTCTCGGGACTTGGCTGGAAATTCCAGCAGTGGTCTGAACATAAGACTCACACAGAGACCCATAGACTCACACAGAGACCCATAGACTCACACAGAGACCCATAGACTCACACAGAGGCCCGTAGACTCACACAGAGACCTGTAGACTCACACAGAGGCCCGTAGACTCACACAGAGACCCATAGACTCACACAGAGACCCATAGACTCACACAGAGACCCATAGACTCCCTCAGAGACCCATAGACTCACACAGAGACCCATAGACTCACACAGAGATCCTTAGACTCACACAGAGACCCATAGACTCACACAGAGACCCATAGACTCACACAGAGACTCATAGACTCCCTCAGAGACCCATAATTTGTGGTCCTTCCCCTCTCTCTTCTGATTCGCACGGTTGGCTATGTATGGTGCGAAAGAAGTTCAACGTACATACATACACACGCACACACAGGGCACGCTTGTTGGGAATTATTTGTTACTTAGCCACGAAGTTAGAAATGGGATTGTAGTCAATAGTTTTCACTGCACCATCTATCAAGTAGGTTCACGTGGCCCCTACTGCAATAGAACACCTTGAAAGAGATTAAGCCTGCCTACATATTATTCGCTCAAAGTTCCACGTTTGGTGAGTCCTCGCTTCCACTATATAACGCGCTTCTTCCATTTCAAAACACTTTTCACTCAATGCGGAATGCACACCATTATGTTATAACACAGAACGATCACCGTTACAATAGGTAACGCCGCTGCCTGTTACGACGTGGAACGCACGTACCGTTACAACGTGGAATGCGCGCACCATTATAATGCAAAATACAAACCGTTATAATTCAGAACGCACGCACCGTAATAAGAAGGAATACGCACGCAGTTATAATGCTGAATGCATGCAACGTTACAACGCGTATCGTGCTCAACGTTATAACACAGAACGCTTAACATTATAACAGGGAACTTGTGTGCTGTTGTAACGTGGAACGTGCTCCACCGTTGCTGTAACGCGGTTTCTGAGAGGTCAGCGGGCAAAGTACTTTCTCAAGACTGCATGATGGCTCAACTGTTATGGTGAAGCGGTAACGCGGAGTGATACGGTGACACGGCGATGCTCGGCCCGTCGGTTGACGGGGAACTACTTTTTAAGAGTGCTCCTCTCACGTTAATGTCCTAGGGCCACAGCGTGTGGCGTTGATGCGGACTTCTCGTCGCGTGCTTCTGTGCGTTGCTGAAAGAAAGGAGGCTTTTTTTCTTTATTTCCAAGGGGTTTTTCGTCTGCCATACATAAAGGATCTGTAATCGTGTGAATATTTATTTGTGTCAATTTGTATGTTTGTGTATGCCAACTTCAAATAGTAAACACATGTAAAACACACACAAAAACACAGACACAACACCTAAAAACATAAGGTTATGCAGGAATGTTTTAAAAAATTACTATTTAAACATATTACGATTCAGTGATTATGTGTCGTTTTTGAAAATCCGGCGCCATCTTTTCCTCCAAAGCCGCCAGATAATCGATGATCCAATGTATAATCGATTATATATGTGTAATACGAGAGTTCACCGATGAGCGCCGATCAGTGTGATAGGCTCCGCCGCTTGGGCCATCACCCAATCAGAGGGACGGGCCGAGGTTAGGGGCGGAGCTCAAAAGGCTCATGGGAAGTAACCATCTCGAAGGTTCGTGAGGGAACGTGGCTGTAGGCGGGGATTGGTGACGTGGGCCAGGGGATATAAGGGGACGCGGAAGAGAGGTCGAGGTCAGTGTGTGGAGTCAGAGAGTGGGACCACGTCGCTCGCCTCCGGGACGCCAGCGGCCACGTGGCGGCCGGAGGCTTCCTCCCAGTCAGAGGTCGCAATCGGGTACCCGATACCCGTACCCTACCCGATACCCGGCTACCTGTACCCGGCCGTACAATCCGCAAAGCTGTCTCCGCATGGCTGGGGAGACAGCTAAAACCATCACTTTACCGTACATAGCAGGGGTTACCAAAAAGATTTCCAAAATCTTAAACAAACACAAGATCCAGGTTCGTTTCAATACAGTACACAAAATTTGTGATTTAATCCCATCTGTAAAAGATGTGATTCCTGACATGCAATACCCTGGTGTCTACAAACTGATTTGTGGTTGTGGCAGCAGCTACATTGGGGAAACGAAACGACATGTTTCGGACCGCGTCAGTGAACACAAGGCAGATCTAAAACACGGTCATTGCCGATCATTGTTTTAACGCTGTGGGCTCACGAAATTGATTTTTCCAAGACGGAGGTACTCTGCAAACCTACTGGCTACCTTCAGAGATTTGTTCATGAAGCCATCCATATATATGTAGGACTTGAGAAACACGCGTCACGCGTTGGATTGTGATACGGGCACGCGGCGGACAGTGAGGGCAAATGGGGACACGGAGCAGGGCAACATACTGTTGTTGTTGTACCAATTAAGGTGGTCAGGTAATTAAGGGAGGCCTGCAGGTGTTCGGGGGTAATCGAGGACGCAGGCTGGTGATGGGACGAGAGGTATGGGTGTCGGGAATTGGCGCCGCGGTGTCTACAACAACAACACCACGTGAGGCTGGGGGCTGGGGTCGAGTAGCAAAGCGGGGGATAGTCCAATTAATTAAGGGGAATTGGTTCGGGGATAAAGGGGGAGAAACGGGAGTTGGTTGGTGCCTTGGATGAGAGGCGGACAGAGAAAGAGACGGAGCAGCAGACAAGAGAGTATAGTATAGGGTAGCAGTGGACAAGAGAGTATAGTATAAGGTAGCAGTGGACAAGAGAGTATAGTATACGTAGCAGTGGACAAGAGAGTATAGTATAAGGTAGCAGTGGACAAGATAGTATAGTATACGTAGCAGTGGACGAGAGTATAGTATAAGGTAGCAGTGGACAGAGAGAAGACAGAGTATGGTAGCAGCGGATAAAGAGAATACAGTATAGGATAGCAGTGGAGTCGCTGGAGGAGAGGAGCAGAAGGAGAGCGAGCGAAGCCAGCGGAGCGGAGCGAGCGAACGGAGGGACATTGAGTGATGTTGATGGGGAATTGTGCGTTGAAGAGAATGGAGGGACATTGGGTGATGCCGACGGAGGAGATGTGAACTATACGCGTTAATAAAAAACCGAGAAAGACAAAGAAGCTGTCGCGTTAGTACGAGTCCTACACCTATATTAGTTCGTTTTGTTGCATAGAGATCGGCAGAAAATTGTATGTTTTTGGATTATCTGCGATTTGGTAATTAAGCGCGGCCGTCGTTCCTCATCATTAGCGTGGATAATCTAGAGTCTGCTGCAGTATATTCTTCACATATATCGTTTGATGCATGGCTTCTCAGTTTTTAATGAACTATTGATCAATCGATTGCATTGTTGCACCCAACGGCGTACGTGTTCACGGAGTGCAGCCCCGTGTACTGTACGGTACAGTACTTATTCATTTAGCACTGGGGCAAGGTCTGTTTACAATAGCAATACAATGTAATAGTTTTCTCTTTGGTTCTTTCGGTAAAGTCACTTAAAAATAGTTGGGTTCGCGTAAATATAATTGTAATTTGTGTAAATTATTCATGTAAGTGTTGGAAGCAACATTAAATAAATCATGAGGTTTTTTTTTGTGAGATTGCGTAAATATAAATGTATCATTAAATTAGTAAAGGTTTGTAAGGTAAACAAAACGTAGTGGGTTTACTCTCCAACATACCGGTGTGCTGCACTAGTAACGATTTGGCATGTTTTGTTTACATGACAAACCTTAGTAATTGTCTGTATCGGGTGGTGTTTAGCGGTTCATATTTCCGCGATCTAACCCAAAAACCTCTATTATGGATAATATTGGTCACGAGGAGAAAAAATCAGACCACTCATTCACAATGAACTCACGCGCGCTGATGATGATCGCGATGGTGAAAAATACAAAAACCTAGCATTTTGAACTAAAGAGGAGCTGCCGAAGTGATGAACAGAAGGTGTGTACCGGATTAATTGTTATCGTGTATTTGTAGTGATGTAAATGGTGTCACGAGGGTGTTCGAGACAGCGACTGTTACAGGCGTGGAACTATGAGTCTGGAGTCTCTCTCTAGCACCAGAGTAAGTACGGCATAGGCCTCGGCAAGGTAAGGTAAAAGGTAAAAACAACGAACCTATCTATACCCTACTTTTTACCTTACCACAATACAATCACTCTACTCGACCTTTCACCCTTGAGCAGGTAAGGTAAAAGGTAAAAAGCAACGAGCCTACCTTTACCCTACATTTTACCCTTACCCCATACAAATTACCTGATTACAGGGTAATTACTGGGGTACTACTACACATAAAGGTTTATAACAGGTAAATGCTAGGTAGAGTGCTTTATTCATATAGAATACTCCCAATGATTCCAATTTTACACGCTTGCCATCGTTGTTGTCGTTGTTGTCGTTGTATCCTCAAATCTTGTAACTCAATTTTAACCTACTTTCCAATGTGGTATCGACTGATAACTTGGTATACTTATGTCATACTGATGACATTTCTTTATTCTATCATAAAAATATATTTTTTAAACATTCTTTTTTATATGTTATGTTTCGGCTTTGGTCTAATTGTCCACGCTCAACTGACGTTGGCTGTAATTGGCCACAGCCCCTTACATTATGGCAAGCCTTGGGGCCACTTCCTGGAGTCGTGGAGTTCTGCCATTACTAGTACATTTAATAAAAGCGTGTTTTAAAAAAGTTTTATTAAATATTACTTGTAAAATGGAGGCCACGGACTGCGCCACGGAGCTTTTAACGGTAAACAAGGTACCGTATTTACCGGGTAATACTTTGCGCTACCTTTACCCTACCAGATAATTCTTCCGAGCTACCTTTACCCTACCTTTTACCTTACCCCTTGGCACGTCGACACCTTTACACTTTACCCTTTTACCCGGTAAAAAGGGTAAATTATCTTACCTTGCCGAGGCCTAGTACGGCAGGTCAGCCAGCCCTAGGCGGCATAGTCTTGGTGATGGACTGAAAGAGGGCAAGTTTCAAGTTTCAACCGCAACAAACAAAAAAACTAAAACATAAACAAGAAAACATCTTAAAGTGACTATGTGCAAACAGAAAATCCAAGAAAAGACAGCTAAATATTGCAGAAAAAGCACCGTACACCAACACTGTGCAAATATCCCAGTGGGATGCAAGTCAAACAACAACAACCACAAGACAACTTAGATTAAGGCCATCAGTCTAACTCTGTACTACAACAAACAAACATGGCCAAACCGAAAAACTTTTCAAAAATCACCAAAATAAACCCATAAAAGCAATGAAACAGTGATCATAAGTGAGGACGTGGTAGCCTGAGTGAACCCGAGAGGGTATGTGACCGTGACAGGGTAGTGAGGGGGGCTTGAGGGGCACGTGACCGGGACAGAGATCCTTCGGGAAAGGTCTCGAAGGGGGCGTACCCGAAGACGGAGCCACGCCCAGGAGCATGAAGGCGCGGTCCCGAGAATGTTCTTGGCTCGTCTGTGGAATCAAGCCTGGGTCCTGTGTCTCGTCGGTCTTCGGTTGTCGTCACGCTCGGCGTCGTGGGTCAGGCAGACTTCGCTGGCTTGACCCGGTTATCTCGTTACCCCGTTAAAGTGGATGAAGTGGATGTTTACGTAGTTAGCCTGTTGGGTCGTTAAATAAACGCGTTGCCTCCAAGAACAAGTGTGTGTCTCCATAGAACAACACTACATTTGTATGGGACTTAAAGAACAACGAATCAATATTAAGCACTCGCAAACACAACTGTTGGCATTTGCAGAACAAGCTTGTTAACAAGAGCATTCAATTGATTCTGATAACGTTGATTTGGTTATGTAACACTAATTATCATTTGGCCAAGAACTCAGTCATCACATGCTGCTGTACACACATGTATTGATGCACTGCACAGCACATCAGGACTTTCACAGACCCACACTTTACTCCCTTGCTGCACACGGACATCATTAAAAGAGTGATCCATTCCTAATTTGCCACACAAGACTAATTCGAGAAGCCATTGAAATTGAGAGAAATACAAATAACTGTAACCGTTCTGACTGCTTCAGGCTTAGCGCTGCTTGGAAGCCTATTATTAAGTAATACACCTTGCAATTGTATGCCTTGTAAAGGCATCACAATACTGATTAACTGTGATTAAGCCATCTGTTCCAGATTAACATAATCCATTGTTACAGAATTACAATAATCACCCTCTGCTCTCTGATTGGCTCACAGTGATGACGCCACGTTTCTCTATTTAAGACCGGAAGTAATTTTGGCAAAAGTCGCCCAATGATGATGATGATGGTTGATGTAAATTACTAGCGAAACGTCACGGTAACTCAATATTGCAAATGTTG